AGAAAAATCTGTATTATTCCTTGATTTATTGCTATGAAATGATGTTATAATTGGGTCTGAAGATATTAATAGTCTGTTTAAAATGTCTCTATTATTGTGTATTCGTGACATTTTTCTGGAAAAGTTCTCTCTATACCTTCTAAGGTCTTTATTCCGAGTTTCTTGCGCATCTTCTGAAAGCACGCCAGTCTGGATACTTAATGATTTTATTATTAAGTGGCCATGCACAAAAATTTTAGGCACTGCCACAGGCATATAATACCAATTATATAATTGATTGTATAATAGAATTGTGTCGTTTGTAAAATTTTTAAATGCAGCAATGTTCATTTCTTCATAATAATTTTTGTGAAATAGGCATCCGGCTTGGCATTTTAACGCGTCATTGATTTTCTTTTTTATTGCTGTGTGTTGGATAGGTATTTTTTAACTAAAAAAATACTTTGGACTTGTTTGGGAAGAAGGTTACAATATGATATCCGAATCATGACTCTTTTTTTTAAGACCTCTAGTTTTAGATCTAATCCTACAGTTAGTACTAATATTAATTCATAAAAAATAGTTATATTGAAAAATTGTAAACGATTAACAGTTTCAAAACTAACTTTCAGTATTCACTGTCGAATATCCGTAGACACCACCCTGTATATTACCCATTTTATTGAAAATGCGCAAATATGCGCAATTTATTTTTTTGAGAATGGGAAGTGTAGACTTGAAATTACATAAAAAAACAAATTTCAACCTGGGATCTTGTGGGACTTTTTTGTAGCTTAACTTAAAGTTTAACATTGTAAATAAAATCTGCTTATGAACAGTGTTGGGAAAAACACAGTGTGTCCGTAAAGTAACGGATATAGGCGATAAAATCATAATAAACGGTTTATGGAAAAATCCCTGAAACGGGTCTAAAGATTTAAATTTTTTGATGCTGATTTCAAATTTTTTCCGCCATTTTTAAACCAGTTATGACGTCACCGATATTTTTTTCAAATGGCAATCCCCCATTTTTATTACGGAATATGAAAGAGGATTTTTTTCTGAATCTATTACAGTCAATATTAATATTGGTTACATAAGAAAATTTTCGAGAAGAATTACTTTACAGTTTAATTACTTCAAATTAGTATAATGATAAAAATAGCAGTAGCCATGAGTAACTATGGTAACCAATTATTTTAAACAATTCCCTGATTGTCAAAAACTGATTTAGTAAAGCTTCTTGAAGTGTGGTGGCGCGCCATCCTGTTGGAATAACTGGCGTTGGAATTGAGTTGTGTCAACATTATCAGGATGGAAGGAATGACATCGCTTTGAAAAAATTTAAACATCTTTTTCCAGTTAAGGTTTCCTCAAATCTTTTGCGGATATTGAATGTGCGACTTTCTTGGCTAATTTGGATTTTGGGTAGCGCAATACCGATAACTTTGTCTATTTACTTGTCCACTCAATGTAAATGTCCCTTCGTCGAAAAAAATTATGCTTTTGACAAAGTCTTCGTCATCGTTGCAAAAACTACGATTCATTGCTCGTGAATCAGGTTTACTTTATGGGAATGATATTTTGCGGGTTTTAAAA